TATATGAGTGTTGGGGTTCCGACCCTAAATGTTCCAACGTAAACGTATTTCGAAAAACATAACTTAATCATAAACTTGTATTGAGAGGCAGTGGCGTGGCGTGCTTTGCGATATATCGATTGATTCGCCATTCAAACCTATGAAAAAAGATCGATTATCAGGGCGTTCGCAGCGAACACCTTAGTGATCGATTCTTTACCATAGCTTCAAATGGCGATTTATCGATAATCGATCCTTCACGCCACGCCACTGTATGAGAGGATTCGTAACTTTTTGAATATCTATTTGTGTACTTATTTCTCGAAGCATGTAATAAAAAGAAGAAGAACAAAAATTGAATCAAGTGTTCAAAAATATACACGTTTGTATAGGTTTTTATTTGTTTTACAAAACGCACTACTAATGCTGCATTCATGTCAAACACGTAATAAAATTTAATAAATAGTTGATTAGGAATATTCATTGCCAATTGCATTGATGAGAAATTTACCAAACCATTTCACAAAGAGTTTTTCCTTACTTTCTGTCTATCTTCCTTCGAGAGACTTTGAGAAAAAATTTCTGAACATCATTTTTTCAAAATTTTCCTCTATTTTTAATTATTAAACATTTATATACCACCGTTCGTGTTGTCAGTGAAGTCTTACACGATTTTCTTTTGAAAAAATTTAACTGTAAATGGATCAAATCACATGGTTCTTGAGTGTTATAAAAAATGAATCGCAGTTGAAATGATGATCATAGCACAATGCAAGTTGTTGCATTGCAATGCAATTGTTTTTGAGTCATCTTGTGGGGAAGCTCCTCCCTCCATCATTAAATTATTTCCTCTGAGAAAAACTTCTATGTCAGCCATGTAACTTACCTTTTGTAGAAAATGATGACGTGAGAAATAGGAAGATTACACTAATTTGAAGTCGAGTTCCATCCCAATAAAGCATGGTGTGAAAACAGCTCAAACAACACTTTCCTAACGTTGATCTTCAAATGGGGGAAAAAATGTGTAGCATTTTAAAACCTACTCAAAAGGCTGAGGGCCAGAAGGAGCACCTGATTTTGGAAAAAATTTATTCAGAGAAACTTGGTCGTTGGCTGTTTTAATTTCGGTAAAAAGTTATAATTCAAATTGAGCAAAATGTCATCAAGGGTCATCCTAAAAATCTAAGAGGGAACTTTAACAATTCCGCGCAGAATCTCTTTAGGCAAAACTTTTTTTTTGAAGTCGCAACAAGGTGCTGATGAGAACGTTCCTTTATAAAGTATTGTAGCTAGTAAAAAGAGAAGGCCTTAAAAAGGCTCTTAGCAGCTTTGACAAGATAAGGATCGGGCACAGTAGAATAAATACATCGTCCAGTTAAAACTAAAAAAATCGTACTTTAACACCAAAAAACTCAGTAGAAGTATCGGTGCAAATACACTTGCTAATGAGCGAACGTAANGGGGGGGGGGGGGGGGGGGTGTACTGCGCGAGCTGAATGTATACCAAGAGGATCCACGTCGTTTCGCGGCACTGAAAACTGTGGAACTGCCCGAGCGGAAGACTCGTCAGGATCTCCCAGCAGCGAAGAGGTGGAGTGGTCAGTCTGACAATGAGTCCACTCACAGCTGCATCAGTTTTAAGTAATAATTCAATTGGAGATGCTCATGTCTCCCACCTCACCACTAGATGCCAGCGGCTTTCATCAAAGGTTCCTCCGTGGAAATCGGAGACAATTTATTTTAGAGACCCCGGCTTCCTGAGCGCTTTTTGAGTTGATTACCGGGGACGCGACACTTCGGCTCGTCTAGTCTTTCACGCAATTTATAAACGAATTTTGACAAAAATGATGAGGGATCATTGCGCGATGTAGTATTTTCTGTTTGAGGTGGTGACATATCTTGAGACACATCATACTGACCTATAGTTATATTTTTAAGTTTTTCTCCACATTATAATTAAACAGTAACCTGACTATCAGTGTAAGGACACATATCACCAATAGAACAAAGAAAGATGAAAAAAAATATATAAAAAAATGAGGGTAGAGAATGAGGAGACAGCAGTTGAAAAGGAGGGAAGATGAAGAAAAATAAAGCAGGAATGAAAAATTAGGAGAATGTAGGAGGAATGGGGAGAAGAAATGAGAGGAAATTCAAATAGTGGTAGTTTGATGAAAAAGCACGGTTACTCTGAATTACGTACAAAAGGAGAGCTTTTTAGCGCCTACAAGACTGCATGAATACTTCACGCATTGCATCAATCACAGTGTGGTCACTGCGGTCAGCGTGAAACGCATAGCGCCTACAAGACTGCATGAATACTTCACACATCGCGTCAAACAGAGTGCGTTCAGCAGCGGGTCGGCGCGCGACGTGAAACGCAAAGCGCCTACAAGACTGTAAGAATACTTCACGCATTGTGCCAAACAGCACGGTGCGGTCGGCGCGGCGGCGGAAGTTAACAATTTAAAACCACATTTATGTTTGTTCTTTCATAATTTTTTCGTTCATTTATCATAAATGGAGGGCCTTGTCCGCACAGAGGTAGGTTTACGGAACTTAACTTTCGCCCAAAATTCCGTGAAGTTTTGCTAGTAATGTTAACGGGGCTTTCTAAAAAAAAAAGGTGTCCAACACGAGTAAACGCGTCTCATGCACCCCTCCCCTCCGGTACGTTCACTTGATGGTTTTTATTGATATTTCAAAACGAATAAGAGGGGGCCGGTAAAATACAGGCGGCCCATGGCCGGCAAGTAGGTACAAATCCGGCCCTGACCACGAACGCAGCAGAATTATTTAAACGAGGCGCCATTTAAAGTGCGAAGTTCGGCAACATTGCTCTACAGTTAAAAACCGTTGCATCAGTTGGACTTTCAGCATCAATCTACTTCAAAACGTAAACAAACAAAGGGATTCCCTGTCTCTTATCATTTCCCACAAGTACCTACCTCCCTATGAGTCATCAACTCAACAAGGAATATTATAAAGTTAGTCAGTGATTAATGCTTTCTTGTTATCTCAGGAATCAGTTTTTTTTTTTATGTCTGCCCCCTCCTCCATTAGTGTTTTCAGCTAGCTGCTATTCGTAGTTTGTCTTAATCTTTTTATTTTTAGTTTTATTTCAGTCATAGCCAGCCTCTTCTTCAAATAATTATTTTCATATTTGTCCTCTACCTATACTTGTAATAACATATCTTCAAGCCTATTCAATTCCTCATACATCTTTATTACACCATGGCTGAATGGTTAAGTAACCAAATATTTGGTAAACCTCCAACTATTAAAGGTAAGCTCCTTATCTCAGAACTTTTCAGCAAAGTTGACCCTATATTAAATTCATGAAGATTTTGAAACCAGTGAGCCAATTCTGAGCCAAACTAATGGCTATTAGACGTTGTAGAAGTGTTCACTTTGAAAACCATGTATGTCAACGGCGTAAGTTCACAATCACATATCTCGTTTGCGATGTCTGAAAATGTCCGTCTCTATGTTATTTTTTTAAAGAAGAATAAAGTGACATCATGCCTTGAAGTTTTTGCCGCATTTTCTTCTATCAGAGAAGATAATGCGGCCATTTTAAAGAAATGCCATTGAGTAGTTTTCCGTTTAAAAAATAAAGTATGACAGGAAGTCTGTGATGTCGCAAACTGCGTTATGTGATTGCCGACTTACACCGTCGATAAGTAGATCTGTATTAGGTATCGCAGCTGTATAAGAGATTTTTACAGATTTTCATCAGATAACTGTCTGTCCAAAACTCTTAGGCGGCAGCAATTTACCTGCCACTTTAAGTATCATCCTAATTTTGCCGATTTTTGAGCTGATGGAATGACACTCGTCTTGACCAGTAACTCAAAAAGTATCTGATTCTTGAAACAAGACCATGCTAATATCACTTGCGGAGGAATTTCATCTGCCTCATTGGCATTCAGTGTTCTGATTTTCTTAGGCACATTGCGCCAAATGTTCAAAAAAATCGGGCTTTGGTGCTAAAAATTAGGTGGGTTGGACCATTGTGGTGACTTAAGAGTCAATGTATTTTGTCAAATTTTTTCTCTAACTTGCAGTCGTTAAGTAGCGGTGGCACGTGGTACATGTGAAAAAAGTCAATTGGGCTCCAAGGTAATTATAGATAGCTCCCAAAAAATTGGGCTTTCCGCTCAAGGTGGCTCCTAAATTTTTAGGAGAAAGGCAGAGCAATCCTGGTATTATTAGTATTGAAATGAAACATCAGTCAGACCTATTGCTCTTAAGACAACCTATGTATAAAATCATGAAAGAGAACCTAGGAAAAGAACGGTCCCTCTGATTTCTTGACAATCCAAAGAGTAGAAACTGAAAATGCAATTAAGATTAATCGAAATTTTCAAACTGAGCTGATGCGCCCACTTTTGCATTAGAATATGTATTATAATGAAAAATATCTTTTAGTAGGTAAACTTTCATCATTTTCATGATGATAGATTGTTATTACCCTAACCATAGCACACATCTATGAAGGCGACATTCTTTCCAGTCTTGCCATTGTTATTAATACTCTTATATTTGTTTTTACTGTTTTCTTTAATTTTTGAAACTCCTGTGTTTTCTAGATTTAACCCGCGAGAATGATAAGGCTGTACGGAAAGCTGGCCGAGAAATAGAGAAAGATCGCAGAGTTTTGGAACGAGAGGAAAAGAAACTGGTGAGGATGGACCTGATGTAATTTGGTAGAGATGAACAATTTAGACCTTAAAAAAATTGATAAATGTTGAGAGTAAGACAAATAGGAGGAAATTTATGTCAATGCTGAAGTAAAAACAGTCACATCACTGGTTGTGACTTATTAGCCTTTGCTAATTTTTTATTTTTGTTTAATGAAAAGTAACAGAAATTTTTTCTAAAATTTCCTTAATTTCTTTCATTAATTTTAAAATTATCACAATAGATTTTGATTGACAATTTGGTTGGTTTTATTTATCGTGAAAACATGGGCACAGATGGTGACTTAGTCAATGAGGGCTAAAGTGTGTAAACTTGAGGTAAAACGTCCATTTGAGCATAATTTCCCTCATAGAAATTTGCTGTTTGGTGGCACTTTAGTTTTAACCATTCAGAGAAGCATGTCATGGAGGCAAAACAAGTCTAATGAAAATGGTCCCATTTGTAACAATATTGTTGATTGGCGCTGATAATGTAATGAGACATGAAAAATAGAGTTTGCTGATTGACTGAGCCTAGCCTCGCCAACATTGCCTTGCTAAGTACACCATTTTGACTGTTGCCTTTAATTGGTTGGATTTTGATTAGCTTTTTTCTAAATTCCTAATTTGCCTTCGAGATGATTCTTTAAACTTCTCAATGAACCAATTGATTTTTCCACAAAATTTTAGATCAGAAAATTGTAATACAATCTTTCAAAAATGCCTTGCCACTCCCATCCAAGAAGCTACCAACAGGTTGAAAATGGACTATTAAATTGTCCTTGGTTTTGAAAATGTATTATACAGCAACAATGCACTTTTGGAAACACACAGCCATATTTTTATGTATATAATTTTTATACTCTTGATTTTATGCTTTACCTCTGCATCAATTTTTAATCTTGCTCTTTTTAATAGGAAGCAGAAATAAAAAAAGCTGCCAAAGAAAATGACAAAGATGCGTGCACAATTTTAGCCAAACAACTGGTTGCTTTGAGGAAGCAGAAAACAAGATCCTATGCTGCAAATACAAAGGTAAGGACAATTTCACTTCTGATATTCTGTCCTACAATATCCAATTATTTAGAAAAGGAGGTTCTAAATTTTAAAAAATCGGAATTGAAAAGTTGGAGTAAAGTAGGAAATATTTCATAGTATTATTATATTGTGAAGCCAAAACGTGATGTTGCTGGTGTCTAATTTTTTTACTAAGTATATTTGATCTTCCTATTTGACCACAAATTAACTTATTTATTTAAGCAAACTATTCATCCTGGTGAAACCAACAACTCTGTAACATTATGACAGTGAGACTTGAAAATACATATCTCAGTTGCGGTGTTCCAAAATCTTCACGCCTTTTTAATTTTTTAAAGGAGGACTAAACCAACATCATGAATTGAAATTTATAAAGTATAGTATTCTAATGGTGAAGAAAAATCACCAAAGTTTGCTAGTAATATTTTTGAGAAGCTTTCCTTGTAGAAAATAAAGTATGACAAGAAGTCTGCAATGCCACAAACTGAGATATGCGCTTCGGCAGTTTCACCATCGGTATCCAAATAATTGGTCTATTTAAGGAACTGGAAGAAATCATCCAGTACATACACCTAATAAAATTTCGACAGGAAAGAAACTAGTCTTTCCTAAATGACCAATACCAGTAATTCCTTTTTAGCCGCAGAACTTGTCACAAATGCCATTTTCTAATTGTTGAAATGTCTTTTGGTTTTTTGTTTCTTTAGCTGCAAAGTGTTGGAAATCAAACCAAATTAATGGGTGCCAATATGAAACTAGCTGAAACTATGTCAACAACCTCAAAATCAATGCAAAAAATGAATAATATTCTCAAACCGGAACAAGTGATGGGTGAAATGAATGCATTCTCTCAAGCTGTCACTAAAATGAATATGACAGATGATATGATCAATGACACATTGAACGATATTCTGGATGAGTCTGGAGATGAAGAGGAAAGTGATGCCATCGTCAATCAAGTACTGGATGAAATTGGCATCGAAATTTCCGGTCATATGTCTAAAGCACCCTCCGTATCCAGCGAGAAAGTTAGTTCCAAGTCTAAAGCCAAGCTTCCGACCGATGAAGAAATTGAAGCGCAGCTCGCTAAATTATTAAAGACGCCCTAAATTCTTATTTCTTTTTCTCTCAGCCTACCTCAATAGTTGATTCCAAATCAAAAACTAGGCTTCTTACCAATTTATCAAGAATATCAAATTCCTCCCCNTCCCCCCCCCCCCCCCAAATATATTTCTTTAAGTCAAACTCAAAGTTATAGTCCCAAATAAAAGAATCAGACTTGTGAACATTTCTGAAAAATCTGATTGTAAGCAAAGCTTTGGCTATCTACATACATAAATCTGTAAATAAATTAAACTATCTTTAAAGTAGTTTCAAAATGCGCAGATCACAGGTTACTGCTGATACATTAGATTATGAATTGAACTATCAAAGCAAAATGTACCTGTTATCTGAGTACTGAGAGAGGACTCTGACCTCAAAGTGAGAAACCACATCTGTTTCCTCAGTAAGGGGGGGGGGAGGTCGAGGAAACAGATGTGGTTTCTCACTTTGAGGTCAGAGTCCTCTCTCAGTACTCAGATAACAGGTACATTTTGCTTTGATAGTTCAATTCATAATCTAATGTATCAGCAGTAACCTGTGATCTGCGCATTTTGAAACTACTTTAAAGATAGTTTAATTTATTTACAGATTTATGTATGTAGATAGCCAAAGCTTTGCTTACAATCAGATTTTTCAGAAATGTTCACAAGTCTGATTCTTTTATTTGGGACTATAACTTTGAGTTTGACTTAAAGAAATATATTTGGGGGGGGGGGGAGGAATTTGATATTCTTGATAAATTGGTAAGAAGCCTAGTTTTTGATTTGGAATCAACTATTGAGGTAGGCTGAGAGAAAAAGAAATAAGAATTTAGGGCGTCTTTAATAATTTAGCGAGCTGCGCTTCAATTTCTTCATCGGTCGGAAGCTTGGCTTTAGACTTGGAACTAACTTTCTCGCTGGATACGGAGGGTGCTTTAGACATATGACCGGAAATTTCGATGCCAATTTCATCCAGTACTTGATTGACGATGGCATCACTTTCCTCTTCATCTCCAGACTCATCCAGAATATCGTTCAATGTGTCATTGATCATATCATCTGTCATATTCATTTTAGTGACAGCTTGAGAGAATGCATTCATTTCACCCATCACTTGTTCCGGTTTGAGAATATTATTCATTTTTTGCATTGATTTTGAGGTTGTTGACATAGTTTCAGCTAGTTTCATATTGGCACCCATTAATTTGGTTTGATTTCCAACACTTTGCAGCTAAAGAAACAAAAAACCAAAAGACATTTCAACAATTAGAAAATGGCATTTGTGACAAGTTCTGCGGCTAAAAAGGAATTACTGGTATTGGTCATTTAGGAAAGACTAGTTTCTTTCCTGTCGAAATTTTATTAGGTGTATGTACTGGATGATTTCTTCCAGTTCCTTAAATAGACCAATTATTTGGATACCGATGGTGAAACTGCCGAAGCGCATATCTCAGTTTGTGGCATTGCAGACTTCTTGTCATACTTTATTTTCTACAAGGAAAGCTTCTCAAAAATATTACTAGCAAACTTTGGTGATTTTTCTTCACCATTAGAATACTATACTTTATAAATTTCAATTCATGATGTTGGTTTAGTCCTCCTTTAAAAAATTAAAAAGGCGTGAAGATTTTGGAACACCGCAACTGAGATATGTATTTTCAAGTCTCACTGTCATAATGTTACAGAGTTGTTGGTTTCACCAGGATGAATAGTTTGCTTAAATAAATAAGTTAATTTGTGGTCAAATAGGAAGATCAAATATACTTAGTAAAAAAATTAGACACCAGCAACATCACGTTTTGGCTTCACAATATAATAATACTATGAAATATTTCCTACTTTACTCCAACTTTTCAATTCCGATTTTTTAAAATTTAGAACCTCCTTTTCTAAATAATTGGATATTGTAGGACAGAATATCAGAAGTGAAATTGTCCTTACCTTTGTATTTGCAGCATAGGATCTTGTTTTCTGCTTCCTCAAAGCAACCAGTTGTTTGGCTAAAATTGTGCACGCATCTTTGTCATTTTCTTTGGCAGCTTTTTTTATTTCTGCTTCCTATTAAAAAGAGCAAGATTAAAAATTGATGCAGAGGTAAAGCATAAAATCAAGAGTATAAAAATTATATACATAAAAATATGGCTGTGTGTTTCCAAAAGTGCATTGTTGCTGTATAATACATTTTCAAAACCAAGGACAATTTAATAGTCCATTTTCAACCTGTTGGTAGCTTCTTGGNCCCCCCCCCCCCCCCTTACTCTTACCAAATTAAAGCTCATCTTACCAAATTACATTTATCTCAAAAAGTTCCCATATTTTATTTTAAAAAAAATTAAGCTTTAATATATCGCCAGGTTTTTGACTTCACTTTTTTAACCAATATTTTAGGTTTATTTTGTGAAGATATTTTGTTTATCCATTATTAAATGTTTATTGTGCTAGTTTCAACCTTGTTAAATTATGCACTGAGTATCGCTTTAAGAGTGAGAATCTCTCACCTTCAAGTAGTTAATTGAAACAAAACCTTGAAAATTGAAACAAAAATAATGAAAATCACACTTTGAAAATAATTCCTGCCCGACCTTTATTTCCTTTACTAAGGACATGAATTATCTTCTAAAGCTTATTTAAGTTACTCCTGCTGCTCATTTAGTGCCTTCTAAAATTGTTTATTTTTTTTTTCATCATCGAGAAGTTTGTCTGATAATTAGATAGAATTTTCCTACTAGTGCTTCCTTGTTTTGGGAGGTAATTAAATAGGTACATCTGAGCCATTGAACTTAGAATTTTGGTTTTTATGTATTTTTAAGTAAAGTAAAAGGCTGCTAATTCAATTATCCAAGGCTTTTCATTCAAAAAGCTCACAATCAATAATACGATGGAATGGCTGGTGCCCGTGGGAAAATTTCCATGATCCAAAAATAACCATTGTATTTATATCCCTCGGTCACTTCAAAAGTTTTGAATCCTGATCAGCAGAGAAATCAGCTCTCTAATTTGAAATGTTAGTGATGCAGCTGTCACCCTAGGTACTTCGAAATTAGGATTGTATGCTTTGTCTTTTCAACAAACCAGGGTAAAATATAGACTCTTAAAGTATTGTATTGCGCAGGAATTATAAGTAAGATACTTCCATGTATTGAAGAGAGCATGGCTCATCTAATAAAATACAAAAGTGATTTTGAATTATAGAGTATTTGGAAACCATTTTATTTTTAATTTTCCACTCTTTAGAATTTGATTTTTTTTCTAATTCAAATTGTTTTAAACTCATTGGAAAACTTGGCCCTCATAGTTTTGAATCAGCAAGCGTCCACTTTATCTTTAGCCGCTTTATTCTAAGGTACACATGAAATGCTGTGAATAAATAAATAAATTTTGAGGATATTTTTCAAGAAGTTTTGCATTCTTGCTTCTTTTCCTCTCACTTTCTGCTCCCTTTTGAAATCAACTTTCAAGCAGCTCCCAATTCATACAATACATATCCAATATATTCCCATACAAGTACATAATACTAACAGTGACACATGCCCTGAGATCCTCCAAAATAAAAATTTCACAAGCCTGAATGTGTTGAGCTTAAATTGATGCACAAGTCTCAAGCGCCATTAGTTCTTTCCTACGACTGCCACTTTAATATCAACAGTCAAAATGTAAAACCCCGTATCTCCATTGCGGTATTGTAAAATTCCCGTTCCTTTTTCAGTTTTTTTTTTAAAAAAAACGCGAGCCAACTATTTAGCTTGAAATGTATACAGAATATGCTGCTAACAGATAAAAAAATCCCAAAATTTTTTTTAGGAAAAATAAAGTATGATGGGAAGTCGCTAATGGAGGTCTGCGGTTTTGCACTGTGACCCTAATATATATGCTGCACCCTAATGATCGAAGGGATTTAACATTCAACACGTAGCAAACTAATGATCGCCAATGGTAGTCAGCCTGCAATGGTACTCACCCATTTTCCTGCGCAGCAGATAGAGAAAATCCAAAGTTTTCAGATTTTCGAATTACTTCCTTGTGTCATCTTTTCAACAGATCAGCTCAGTGGTCAGCATGTTTGGATTCCGAGCGAGCATAGTCTTTAAATCAAATCGTGAGAGTTGAGACAATTTTGCATGGAACTTAAATGTTGGATTTTGCTCGGCTTTACACTTTGGAAATTCGAAAGTCTGTGGTATGGTCATGGGACATAAGTCGTTTTTAAAATGGGTCGGACACATTGTTCTTAATTGCAAAATTCAGTCTAATTGTCAACACTATTTTAAGAGTGAGGAAAGTTCCAAAAACATGAGATTATTTTCAATCAGAGCGCCGTGAAAATCCATCAACGCGGCTTTCAATCGAACGCGCCTTCAATTTGAGTGATACTCTACGCATTGCCGCGGAGTTAGTTTAGATGCATGACCCAACCGAACCCAACTAGAATCGACTCGGCTCCTCACAACGAGGAATTAAAACTGCAGCCGTTTCATTTTGGATTTCAAAATTATATCTGGTCATGGGACGTAAGTCGTATTTAAAATGGGTCGGACACATTGTTCTTAATTGCAAAATTCAGTCTAATTGTCAACACTATTTTAAGAGTGAGGAAAGTTCTAAAAACATGAGATTATTTTCAATCAAATCCATCAACGCGGCTTTCAACCGAAAGCGCCTTCAATTTGAGTGATACTCTACGCATTGCCGCGGAGTTAGTTTAGATGCATGACCCAATCGAACCCAACTAGAATCGACTCGGCTCATCACAACGAGGAATTAAAACTGCAGCCGTTTCATTTTGGATTTCAAAATTATATCTGCTCATGGGACGTAAGTCGTATTTAAAATGGGTCGGACACATTTTTCTTAATTGCAAAATAAATTCTAATTGTCAACACTACTTAAGAGTGAGGAAAGTTCCAAAAACATGAGATTATTTTCAATCACAGCGCCGTGGTATCCAACTTATACCAGTCCCCTAAAGTTTGATAGAGATTGCAAATTTCACGTAAAAAAATTTGAATGAAATCTATGAAACCAAAACTGCAGTGGTGCTGGGACCTTAGTAAAACCATGGAAAGAAAAGTAGTGGGCAGGCCCGCCACATCCCATCTCGGGCCCTGGTACCAATTTTCTGGCCCGGGCCCCTAGCAAGGGGGGGGGGGCGGGGGGCCTCCCCCGGGAAATTTTTGAAATTTTAAATCTATTTGGACGCATTATGAAGCTCTTATGATGGAGATTTTCCATCAATTTCTGCAGAATAATTACGCCTTTTTGTTTCCTTTCAGCACCCAAAACGTTCGAATTGTTGCATTCAAAACATCTATAAATTTTTTTTTGAGGGGGCAGATGATAATTTCCAATTCTATGGGGAGCCGGGCCCCCCTGGACTCCCCTTTCGTACGTCTATGGCAAGGGAGTTAAGCCATTGAAGTCGAGGATGCCCAGAAAGGAGCATCTTAGCATCCGACAACGGAAGAAAATGAAACACAGTTACTAAAAATATCATTCTACATATACTCAAAATCTTGAAAATCTCTAAAAAAGTAAGAAAAATTTTATAGTGCCCTAGCGTGTTTTTGAAACTTTATTCACCTTTTGCGGATTTTTAAGGTAATTTTTTCACTTTTCCCTACAAGACAAGGGTTACACATGAATTCGTAGTGGTTTGTCACCTACGTCACGGGCCCCTCCAGGGCCCGGGCCCCGGTACCAAGGACCCAGTATCCCCCCCCTTGTGGCGGGCCTGGTAGTGGGCCACACCTTTAATCACATGAGTGTTGCAAAAAATCAGCAGAGCAACCATGGGCTCGTAACATCTTTTTTTTTTCTTCATCTCTCTTCCTTTGAATAACATTATTATTACTATGCACCGAGTTCACAGGTGCGTCATTTTGCAGTGGAATACTCCAACATTCCCTACAATAATGCGTCTCTGACGAGAGTCCGTCAATTCATACTTCTCGCGCCATAATTAGGTATAATCAATTATCCAATGAGAAGCCTCCATGCAAAAGGTTGATGCGCTCCATCAACCATCTGGTGACGTCACAGTTTTTATGGCTAAAATTTGAGGCTGTTACGTGGATTTTACTCAATTTAGTGAAAATGTTGCCTTTTTAAGCCGGATTTTTTAATTTTATCTTCAACACTTTGGCTTCTACATCCCTACTGCACAACCGTTTAGTCGCTTAAAATCATTCTTTACTTACTGCTCCCGTGTTAGAGTGTGAAATCGTGCGCCGGAGTACTCATCAAATTACTCAACTTTGAGGTTATTTATCACAATGCTGAAACAAATTTCTTGTGTCATGGATATTTTCATCCGTTTTTAGATAGGAAAATTTTTAGGTAGTTGAACTGCTGAACTCCTGTTCGGGTAAGTCAGAATCATCCACCGAATACACTATGCTTAACATCTGGGGAATTTGTCTGGCTTGGGAACTGCATCATCTGTCGATGCACTCCTAGTAGATAGCAGCAATATTACTTTTCATTTCTCGGTATAGTTGAACCACTTCAGACTGCAGTTTCCTGTCAGTTACACATTTGAATAACTTAGAGTACCTCCATAGCTGTAGCCATCAGATTTCCTCAATTGTTGTCTGTTGTCCACTCGACTGTCAGCAGTCAGGAAACACCCCAAAAAGAAGGAACGATGATGACAGAGTAATCAGTGCCCAATAGATTGATGGTTGCTTCATGTGGAGCTGGAGCTATTTTTTCAATCAGTTGCGTTCCTTCAGAGTCACATTGAGGTATTTAGCACTCTCCGAACTTCTAGAAACAGCTTTTGATTTAGTGCTCCACTGCGCACCAATCTATTATACATTGTAAGCTGCAGTCAACACTCAGTAATTTTTCAAGAAATGAATACTTGGAAGCAGAATTGTTTTTATCTTAAATTGGACTATGTAGCAGTATCAAAGGGCCTAGCTATTAGATGCTATTCTTTGATTTCAATTTGGTTGCGAGAAGAAGTGTTGTCTTACTAGTTGGCCCTTGTGTACTTTCGGTTTGCAGGCGTTTTCGGGTCACAACCATCCACATAAATATATCTGACTCTCTCAGAAGCGAGAACACAAGCTTGGATAGGTTTTTTAATACCAACCCTTGTACTTAACACTTCAATTCTTAGCCACACAGAAATCACAACCACAAAAGTCCCGCATCATAATTAATGAGAAGTTTTTTTACAACACGATTATGAGACAGATGTTTTCAAGATGAATCGTAGTGAATAACGGTCTGTGTAGAGGCTTAAATTCGTTGTCTGCGCTTGCAAACCGAAAGTAAACAATGGCCAACTTATCTGACGACCCTTCTAAGTAAGTAAAGAAGAGTCGAAGGTATTTATTCTATCTTACCAAAACCAAAGGTAGGAAGTTCATTAATCTCTCTTGCATCTTTGCCCCTTTCATGTTCTAGATGTTCAAAGATGGCAAGGCTACATTTTATCCTTGGAAAGAACAAACTATTAAGCTCTTTAGGTATGAATTAAGGAGGCCAAATTTGTAAATTTTAAAACTTGTAAAACTTTTTTGGGGCAAAGGAATAGCTCCTCTGAAGAAACCAAAATTCTCATTCTCTGCAACTTAAAACTTAAGAATGCCTCTTAGATTTTAAAGAAGAAGTATAAGAACAGTCTAGAATCCTGCTCATAAAACACTATAGTTTTTATTAAGACTCAACACTGTTATGCTTTAAAAAAGAAATATCTAACAGAGACGAAAGGTGTTTTATTTTTAATTATTTTAGATAAAGAATGGCATTTAAATTGAAACTAACCGTGATTTTTTTTACTGTTCTCCTCTCTCTCTAGCTGAGGCTTATTAGTGACTGTCGCTGGAAAATGATGCACGACATTAGCTCTGACTCTGGGTCGCAGAACATTGTTTCTGCCACATTCAAAGGCCTAGGTCAAGTAAGTACCCATTTATGAGTTTGCTTTGTCCTTTCATTGAATCGATCATTGAAAATCTGCGGTGCAATTCTTTTGGCTCTCTAATATACCTAGTCAGTGAAAACTTAAAAAGTCTGAAATATCCCCTTTCTACAAGTCAGTTCAAGAGAATCTGGTAAATGCTATGTAATAATCTCTTCTTGAACAGCACAATTTAAAATAGCCTCTTCAGTTTTCTAAGTATTTCATTTTCCACAAAGCAAGCTAATTCAACAGCTCTTCTCCCTAAAATGTCTTCGATTTTTTTAACTCTTTCAGGAAACATTTTCTGTCGAAAAAAATATTGATCTTACTGGAAACTTTCTCTGAAAATCTAGTGCCAATACCCAACCAAAGCTGAGGAGAAATATTTTAAAATTTCAGCTGTCTTGCGAGCCGTTTATTGACATTTTCTGTTTGATTGGGCAAGATATAACTAAGTTGAAATAAACCTAAGTATGGTACTGGTTAGTTTCAAAGATCAGTTTTGTTGATACTATTTCATATTAAATGACCACTAGGTAATCCATTTCATCCCTGAATTAATTTTTTGTTTCCAAGTGACAATTTCACGTCAACAACTGTCCTGCTATACTGAGTCCATGCGCAGGAAAAATGTTTTATGAACATTCGAGAGTTAACAAATTTCCTGTGATTAAATGTCTATTTTTGAGGAGAGTCATGAATATTTTCTCTTGAAAATTAATTTAATTTTCAGATAATTTAGATCTGATTGCAAGGAAAATTCGAAGAAAAATATTTACAGATTTCCCTGAAAACCCTTATTTTATCAAAGGAAATTTAGCAAGGTCTGAAGGCTCAAATGTCACTCTTCCCTAGCAAGGCAGTATGTATAAAGCACAAAAGACATTATTCTCTACAGGTTACTCAGCATAGGAAAGATTTTTCATTGTAAAAAAAAAAAATCAATCCTGAATTTTTCTTTTTGATACAAAATGTCATACTTTTTTCGTTTATTTTTCATACAATAATAGACTTATACCAATTTGCTTGTGTTCTAGCGTTACCAAAAATGTTTAGATGATGTAACTCCTTACACAGTTGGAAGGTGGATTGGCGCTGGTGTTTTAACACTATTCTTTTTAGCTAGAGTATTTATCCTTCAGGTGAGCGTTTTTGTGTCGAATTTTGTCCATCAAACCCCACAACAAATCTTATGCATGTGAAAATATGCTAGTAATTTAAGTCAATAGCCAGTTTCATTGGTGGTTCATTTTATTCACAGAGCACCCTCCTAATTCTCTCCATAAAAACTCAGCTCTATTCATGGGGGAGTGTTCCCATAAAATACCAGGAAAGCAGTCATTATTACAATTTGCGCTTATCTTATTACATATAGTGACTTTCTTGTCAGGTAGCTCAACTGGAACAGCCTGAAGAATTTTACATGTAAGAAATACTTTTTCTATGTTTATTCATGTTCCTTATTTTTTTGTGTTTCAGGGTTGGTATATAGTTACTTATGCACTGGGTATATACCATTTAAATTTATTCATAGCATTCCTTTCACCAAAAATAGACCCTGCTCTAGAATTTGAAGGTAAGTTTCACCTCTGAAGTTTCATCGATCAGTGCACTTTTTATATAACAATTAATTATTACAACTAGGGTATTTCAACTAATACTGCTCTTCACCAGCTAATAGACGCAATTTGGAATCATTGTTGTAGACTTATGAAAGAGGGTTTCCAAGACCCAATGCATGCTGCATCATAATTTCCTTTTGTCACATGCTGCCCTCTTTTGGACTGAAAGTCAGTCTCGAAATGTCACTTGTTTTTGTGAGAGGGTGCCTTGTTTTGTGACCTGGTTCACCTTTCTACATAGCTTCCAGTGCCTTGAGCCAGAGCTGCTAAAGCTTTGGTTTTTATTAGAGATTTTTCTTATCGGTTGATAGTGCCCAGGAAACGTCCTGTGCTCACCTAACGATAGTTTTTGTGTATAACGTAATAATCATTGCTTCATCTCCACATATTTATTAATGTGCAAATGATGGCACGCTCCGGTAACAAGGCTCTGTGACAAAATCACTTTTGTCCTGAGAGTCTCCAAAATGTATACATCTTAGTGAACAAATGTCCAACTACTTAGAAAAATGGCTCGCGGAGCGATCCGAATGTTACTCGCGTAGCGAGTGACTGGGGGCCCAGGGGGCGCAGCCCCTTGGCTAGCTGTGATGGACGCACTTAGCGTGTCCAGAACGGCCAGTATATGTATGTGAGTAAGCAGATATTCATTTCATTTTATCACTTTGTCACCTTGCTGACTCGACGGCGCACTTACTTACACTATGAAATGTGCCCTGTTGCCTTTACTGCTGTGCGAAGAAAAAACACAGTCACTTGTATTGAATTTCATGACAAATTCTCTGAAAATTGCAATGAAAAATGTTCACTTCTTTGTGAGAAAATCACTGTTTTATCAAAAGAAATTTGGCAATGATCGAGTGTTCTTACAATGCTGTTTCTGAACAGGGTAGCCTACAACTCAGTTTTCCATATCTCATTCAAGAACAGAGTTTTGCCCGCAAGTCACGAAAGTGACGATTTGTCTATTGTTAAATAAAGTTGATGAAATAACCAAGTTCAGTAAAAAAACAAGACCTTTGCACGTTTCAGGGAAAAATAAAATTTGAATTAAAATAATAATGTCCCAATAATGAAAATAATTACTCTCTTCATGACTCAGCTGCATACACCAAGTTGAAATCTCAAGTAGCGTATTACTTTATTATGTTAATTTATTTTTTTCTTAATTCAGATGATGCTGGGCCTGGTCTCCCAACAAAAGCAAACGAGGAGTTCCGTCCTTTCATCAGACGGTTACCGGAATTCAAATTCTGGTACTCTGTCATGAAATCCACAACATTCGCTACTTTCTTCACTTTTTTCGATTGTTTCAATGTTCCAGTCTTTTGGCCTATTCTTGTCCTATATTTCATCTCATTATTCTGTATTACTATGAGAAGACAAATCAAGGTTAGTTCATTCAATTTTCATGATTTTAAGGTGTATCTCTAGACTACTCAAAGAAATTTGTGTGCATAAGAGGTACCACTTTTGTGATTATACTATTAGAGTCCATGAACCGTACTTTGAATCCTTAAATTAATGAAGAAATTAGCAGAATATCTGCTAAAATTGATGAATCATACTTTTTAGCCATTAGTTTTTTCTTTTCATTGACCACACCAATGATTTTCGAAGCTCCAAAAATTGATTTTTAAGGAAAAAAGTAGAGTTAAATGAGTTGACTTTAATTTGATCCATCAAAATCCATTGTAGCTATCCATCCATATAAAGAAATCATCTCTAGAATTCTCCTCTAGTCACAAGTAAAAACCATCATAAATTTTTTGCCTTTGATACAGAATTTTGGAAGATTTTATTTTTAAACATTCTAAAGCTGCTAGACATTCTAAATATCAGAATTTAATTTATTTACCAAAGTATTGCTGATTTTATAGTAGGGTTTTAGCAGCGTGACATGGTGAATTTTCGAGGAACTGTTGCTGAAAATTCACCTTAAAAGATGTTAAAAATGCAGTTCATAACTGTAAACTCTGTGAAAAATGACACTGTTTTTTCATCTTTCTTCAATCGTTGACTTTTGAAATTATTGACTGAAAAATGTTTGTGCTACCTTTGAGGAAAGGAAAAAATTGTAGAAACGTCTAATTTTGAATGTTTGCTCAACATCGTTGAACTACAGATTTTTTCAATGATGCACAACTGTTAACTCTTGAAACGTTCTGTGTGCATCTAATTTTTTTTTTTCACCAAAAAAAAAGAATTTCAGGTTTTCTCACTTTGATTGCAGTGCAGATCATTTAGATCTGCACAGCAATGTGCTTATTTTGCAATAAACATTTAGCATCAGCAACAGTATGTAAAAAATATATCATGACATGTTGAGAGCGAAGAATCTTACAAATCTCCAACTTTTTATATTTAAAATTGCTCCGAAACATTCCCATGTTCTGTTAAAAGTGACGAAGAAAATGCTTGTCTATCATGATCCATAAATTACGAAGTAGCTTAGAATTGTCATAAATCATCCATATAACGGTCCTCTCTTCTTTGTTTACAGCACATGTTCAAGTATAAGTACCTCCCATTCACGCACGGGAAGCCTCGCTATCAAGGTCATGAAGACTCAGGCAAGGTGATTAACGCTAAATGACAGGTGGTGTTATCATACATGGCAATATCACTTGAATATCTCTGCTTTGCTCTTGTCGACAAAGCAACTTTTCTAGCATCAAATGCTTGCTTTATTTCTAGCAAATCTCTTTTGTACAAATAACTTTACTGTTGACCAGATAGTCACTACTTCAGCACATCAGCAGCAGAAATTTGAAAGATTTAGTCATTAAGTGGTCAGAGTGGATTTTTGCTTTTGAGTTTTCTTTTTTCTCTTTCTTACTTTTCACCAAGAATCATCACAGTGTGAGCGCAAACTGCTTTTTAGCCTCATTTGTCTCAGTTATCATGAATAACCTTCCTCCTTTTTCTCAACCTTATCCTCCCCGAGGGTCTATTTTTAACACAGAGTGTGCTAAACTTTTTATTTCTCAAAAATCTCTCCCTAAGAATTGGAGAACTGATAATATAAATCTGGATGATCTGCGTTTCCTGTTGAGTTGAGAAGAATTTCCTAGAAAAAGGAGTGAAATCATTTTTGATTATGGCTGATTCATTTTTTTCTTTAATATTTCAACGTAAAATGAATTAAAATTTATAGAGCTTGCATCTTGACCATAAAAATTGTTAAAAGGTGAAAATGAAGAATTTCTAAATCCATGAATCTTTTCATTTAAATACTTTAAGAGATTGGGGCATTTTTAGTTCCTACAGTTTCCCAGTTTCCCTTTTTGGTATCAAATAACTGAAAAACTTTAGGTTTGGGCTTAAAAGGAAATCAAGAGTGAATCCAAAAATTATTCGTCGACAAACCTCCTTATTTTGTCTTTTTTTAACAAAAAGTTTCATCGAACATTCTCTGTGTATTTTATTCAAATTTACTCTCATAATTCCTCATCGTTTACCTCCTGATGTCAAAAAATTTTCAGAAACACCCAAAGCAGAAGTAGTGGACAAGGAAGTTTCTTATCAACCTGTTTTTCCTCTGCGTGAAAGAAAGAAGAATGATAGTACAAAAAACAAACTTGGAGAAGTAGTAAAAAACTAAATGCATCATTCAATCACAATGTAAAGTTTATTTATTTATAACTTAAGCATTGATTGATGTAATGCTGCCGCAAGACTTTCTCAATCAAAAAGAGTGCATTTGTGAAATCAGAGAGAAAAATCAGAACCTTCATAAATGGAGGTTGATCAGTTTTTTATGAAAAAAAATAGCAGAAATGATCTATGAAATGTCACTCTATGAGGTGTAAATAGTTAAACCTTATGTTTTTTTTATGTCACGCAAGCGCTTCTGTTTGTTTTGAGGTTGAACGCATGTGTAACTCTCTACCCACCGTCTAAAAGTTCCTTTGCTCTTGCAACAGCTTTATCATTCAGTTTCTCATCATCGGATGTCCACAAATAAGACTGCACTGTACTATGTACTATTCAACTAGTTTCAGTCAATAGTGTCTACATATTTATGAGTGAAGAATGACCCTTAACAAAAAAATATAACAGATATTTATGTAAAATAAGGATATGTATACCTAATCAGGAAATTCAGTAAAAACATCCAAAAGTAAGAACAAGACTCTTGTATCAGCTTCCAGTTTCGTTTTTTGAAAATTCTGTCACTTCCTCTATTAGCAGACCCATCTTTTATCAACCATGTGGGGATTAAGAATAGAGAATCAGGGAAAAGTTTAAAGATGGGCAAGTTATTTTTTGGAGGGGAAGAAACAAAAACCTAAATTCAATCTTTTTTGGAAGTTTGTCTTTTATCAAGAATTAGGTCGAGTAGAAAACACATTTTGATGAACATCTTTTTGCGGACCCCTGCGAAGTTCAGTGGTAGGATTCCGAATTTGCTGAAGAGAAAAACTTGGCCTCTTCGCCTCCTGGTGTAGTTTCGCGTTGTTTTTCCACTTTACTCTGTCTTTTTCCAGCCCGATGATTTACTTTCAGTAAACACCCTTTGAAAAAAAGCTAACTCTTAAAGAGACCCTAATAAAAAGTTAGAGTATTGTGCGTGGATCGTGATTGTATGTGAGTAATATCATTGACCCCTATTTAGAAAATTGTTCAGTTCTGATATGCTGCCCATTTATCGATCTATTCAAAATTAATTTGAATGAATTGGAGAAGATAAGTAGGGGAATTACTTGAGTTGGTACTGTAATGTCTTAAGAATTTGTGGACAATCCTTTGAATTGCCTTTGTCTTTGTGGTCATTTTTGCTGGATCCTCATGAAAGTTTTGTTCTGTTATCAACAGCCTGCCGAACGGTTGATTCCACCTGAACCACCTAGGGAAGGATAACTCAGCTAAAATCTCAGACCACTAACTCGGGCTTATGGGTGTTTTGAGCAAAACTATTCTTTCACTTTGTCTTGCGCATCTCTGATTCTTGTTGTTTCGAGCGTCAAATTCTCCTCCAGAAAGTTCAGTTTTTGTTGGCATTCGTTTTTCCTGATTGTATTTAATCTATCGTTTCTACCTTTATCTGTTAAAGGCCCAGTTAGAAAAGAATGAAACTTGAATTTAAATCACTCTCTTTTCATAAAGCAGAGAAACTAATATGTTATGAGAAACGGCATTAACACCAATTTTTTAAGTATCCTCAACACAATGGCTCACTAGACACGGTGCAAATTCAAGCATTATAAGTAATTTTTTCTTATCGAAACTTCACGTACGAAACGATTTGTGTGACAAAAATTATGAAAAGTTACTCTAATCAAGGTACTAACATTTTTCGATGCAGAAATTCAACCCTCTTGCTCATTAAAAAGACATTATCTACTAGAGTTAAATCGCAAACTAATTGTTAAAATAACAGCCTCTGCAGTATAAAAACATGGCAATTTTAATCTCAGCGCTCCAGCTCAGGCCTTGCACGCTGGTTGCACTTTGAACATCTGAGGGTGAGAAAGGAACACCGTTCGATAAAGAATCTTACTGAAGTGTGTGATTTGATTCGCCCAAATTCGGATTTTTCTTGTGAATAGGAGATTCAACTTTTTGTAACTAGTGCTAAATGACAAAGTTTACATCCTAATTAGGAGTCAATTTTAGTAATTCGTTGCACGAATCGTGTTTTACGTGAAACCTTGAAGAGGAAACATATTAGAGTCCTTAAATCCATACCTTATTTAGTGGTCCATTGTCTGTAAGTTGTTTCTGGTTTGGTTCTTTTTTAGATGGAAAAAGCATTTAACTTTTAGTCCTTTCTGACAGTACTCTTTAAGTAAGAGAGGAGAGCTCATGCTGGTTTTCTGTGTATTAGTTCTTGTTATAATGTTAAAAATAAAGAACAAATATAAGAAAAAAAAATAGGCTTCAATGTTTTCCCCTGAAGATGGCCTTCAACTGAAAATTGTTTCTAAATTTTGTTATAATTTTATCTAATTTTCATTGTTTTCAAGTGGCTCTGGCTAGGTACCTGTAAGTTGTGTTTCTCTGTCTCTTTAAAACTGGTAATAGTCTGTTCTGCACATGTAGCCACTACCTAGTCAAAAATTTGAAATTTTGGCTGAATGATATTTTTTGCAATAATATGAGGACTTTAGTAAATTTTAATGTTTGTCTTTTTAGTGATTTTTTGTAGGCAGTGAAGATTTCATGAATGAAAATCGCATTTACCACTGTCCTTTGTTTGTTATGAATTTCTTAGCATAGCAAATGTTGTTTTTTGAGCCAAAGATACCTTTCTCAACCTCATAACATTAATCTCTATGTAGGCATCAGGGTTAGCCTATCAGCCCCGAAGACGCTTGCTCAGATGTAGGTATTATTTTTTTCCTAACCAAATAATTCTCTTCAATTCCATTGTAAGAGATAAGAGGTAAAATCTTGAATTCCAATCTATAAATTCCTCTGAACCACTGCGCCAAATCCTTTCATGCTCTTTGACGTCGTGAAAATTCTTACAACTCTCCATAAAAATACCATCTCTTTTTTGAAAAGAAGTCTTCAGTCCTCGTGATATTATTTGAAATGCGGTCATGAGACATATACTTTAAAATTTTAGTGATACGTACTTGTTGAACGCGATTTGTTAACTTGAAAAAATAGGAAGTCAATTTTGATCTTTCTTTACTAGTCCTCTGAAGATTTTAGCTGTCCTGCAATAACAAATTCATTCCTTATCTCTCATGTCTTTCCCAAAACCAAGCCACATGTAAGTTTTTTGTCAAAAAGTACCAGGGCTCAAAGCAGTATTACTGCGAAATGTCAGTTTCAAGAAACCAAAAAAAGGTCATGGATTTTAAGAGAGATAGTTTAACTCATCTCTTACTCAAAAGGAACATTTTACAATCAAGCATTTATCTAAAATCGTTAGGAAGTTTTTCTCATTTGAAAAATTGAAATATTGCTGTTGCCATATATCAGGTACATTATCATAATTTGTTAGACCTTTTGATTCAGCCAGTATACTATTAGCATTAAATCAATCTGTAAATATTCCCACAGTAATTCGGCTAGTTGAAAGCTTTATGGATACTTAGTTGACCAAAGAAATAATTTTTAAAACCTTGAAGCATGGGAGAATATCTTTGGAATGTGTGATGAAATTGTAAAATTTTGCCCTCTTAAGTAGTTTCATAAGGTTGGCTTTAATGATCAAAATGAGCCCATCAAGACAGGTCATAGATGCAGCTGTTAAATGACTGCTAAACAAGAAAGCTCTTGACTATTTTCTCACTAAAAATACCTAAGTAAGTTAGAGGGGTCATCAGCAATTTAGCTAAGTTGGCAGTTCTTCACTCTCCATTTACAAATGACCGCATCGCAGTTGTCTAATAGCAATCAAGGATTGATCGCGGCTCGTTCACGAGCAAGTAAATAATAGCCAACTCAACTGACGACACCTCTAGGCACTTTGAAATCTTTTCTAATAACTCAGATATAACCTCAGAAGAATGTATCCTTGAGGAGATATCACAGGTTCCTTAAGTTTCTGTATCAGTGATTGCAAATTTCTTTCATCATACCTATAGTAATTTTAAGATGGTCTTAGGTTCTGGGGATTTATTCTACTATTTAGTAGGACAATTTGACTTTCAATTGAAAATACAATTAATTAATTTGGCTTCATCGTATGTGTAATTTTGTATATGTTGTGTACATAAAAAGTAATTCTGCAAAAGTAATCTGAGTGATCTGATTGTTCCTTCAATTACCTAAGGTCTTATCATCGGCCTAGTGTAGGGCCTTGTCCACCTACGAGCGGTTCGCAGAACTTGTGGACGAATTGGTTCCACAAAGTTGTAATAAGTGCTAGGAACAAGAATTCCCGGAACTGCGCTTGGGTGAACAAAGCCTTACATTAAGAAAGCAGATTTGTTTAAGATCACACAACCACATTAAGTACTTGGAAGTTTTCATACTTCACATGCTGGGCAAAGGAGCAATCACTTTTATCTGTGGCCGTTTTTAAAGTATGTCAGCAACTCGGCTTAAGTGTGCATCGTTTTTATTAGCATGAAAGAAGAAGAAAAATGAGCAAATAATGAGACGATTTGAACAATTGTACAATTTTAAAGTATATACTTATAAATTTATTTCACAGCAGATATTTAAAATTCAGATTTCACAAGGCAGCATTGAGATCTAAATATTACATGGATGGCTAAAGATTTTAAATCAGTGGTCTCACTATGATGTATTGACAAATGCAGTGATAGTTTGTCAACTGCGGCGTAGAGATTGTTGAACTAGGGACAGAGTCTCTCATGATGAGCTGGCAAGTGCTTGATTATTGGGTGCAATAGTCATTATTCTAGGGACTTGAGAAGTTCTAGTTAGAGGCCTAAAACTGAGAAAGTAATAACTACTTTTTGCTGATTCTCATGGTTAGTTGAAAGTTTCAAAACAATTCCATCAATTCTGTCCTGTCAGATACAAATAACTTGGAAGAGAATTTTATTTCCCTAGACACCATTTTCATCTCCAAAATGTTATAGATCATCAAATTTTTATTTAATACGATAAATTTGTGATGATGAAGGGCCGCATCTGTGATTCTGGAGAAGGCTCTTTTATGTGTGCAATGGAGGAATTAATGGATCCTATTGGTTGATGCAAAGAGTGGTGCATGGAAGATCTGACATAAGATAAAATTTAAAAATTGTATAGTTGACACCTAAACTGTGTCCGACACAGAAATAAAATTAGCTTCATGTCTCATTTTCATTCCGTCAGAAAACTTCCTAGGATGCTAATACTTAGCAAGAGAATGTTGGGTTCTAATGTTAAGGAACGGATCTTTCGACAACCGGATAGCGAAACTAATTTTTAGTTTAGTATGCAAAAAAGAGGAAAAATAACTTTAAGCTTTTAGAAATATGCTAAAAGTGTAAATTGGTAGACCTATAGGTGATGATCTCAGAAAAACCATCCTATTTCCAAAACCACTTGGAAAAAGTAAATTTCTCACAATGTAAGAACTAGCTGAAATCCTCAAAAAAAATTGCAGGTTTTGAGTAATTTCACAACATAACGATACAAAATTTGCCAAACACAAAAACTTCAGACAGGGAAGACTGATGATGATTTACCGCAACTCCTGGTTACAAGAAAATATAACAAGCAAATGCATCTTAGAAAACATCGACCTCCAATGGTAAAAAAAGAGAGGAAATTTTACAGCTCAGGGTGCAAGTTTTTAGCATTACATGTGTCCGATTGGCTTGGTCACAATTTTAATCATCAAAATAGGATTGAAGCACATAAAAGCTACATTAGAAGAGTAGAAATTCAAAACACGGTAAGCGCCATCAGGTATTACTAACATTGTGTTTGGTCTTCATCAATTTAAAATAAGCAAAATGCCCTCGACTCATCAACCTTTAATTAGGAAACTTTCTCCTTTGTTCTCCTCTTCATGATAAGAATTTCTTTACTCAGATCATTGAATTCCCGTTCATTAAGAATATATCGACGGTGCAAGTCGGCAATCACATAACTCGTTTGCGGTGTCTGAAAATCTCCGCAACTATGTTATTTTTTTAAAGGAGAACAAATGGACGTGATTCCTTGAAGTTTTTGCAGAATTTTCCTCGCATATAGAAGAAAAATCACGGCAGTTTTAAAGAATTACCGTTGAGTAGTTTTCCGTTTAACAAATAAAGTATGACAGGAAGTCTGCGACGTCGCAAACCGAGTTATGTGATTGCCGACTTTCATCGTCGATATGCATAATCTGCGCAACACCTGATGGCGCTAACCAGTTTCTGAAATTCCGCTCGACATATTTTGATGTGAGCTCAATTTGAAAAAATAGTACTAACTGGGAGAGAGTAATTTAACAATGCACAACCGATCATTCAGAGAAGAATTAGGCAAATATGTAGGAGAGTTAAAAATTCGGGAAAGAACAATTGTGGGTTGAGTTTCACACAGATTTTTAAGCAGAGTGAAAGAATCGTTAAGGTATGGGCATCAACTGTGTGAAGACAAAAAATACCGGTTGCGTATGGCAGTCAACATGTTAGAAAGCTCAATTTTTAACATTAATATTACATTTAGGGAGATTTGAATGATACAATTTTAAGGGAACTTCGCTCACAACGATAGATATGCCACCAAAAAATTATTATTAGAGATTAGTGAAATTTTACTGCAGAGTAGATAGAATCGCACCGATGTTGTGGGGGTCCCGAAATTAAATGAAATCGAATACTTAATGAAAAAAATAATTTGAATAATCGGGAATTCGTAATGATATGAGAAAAAGTTTTCTCATTTAAAAAAAAAAAGAGAAAAAAAATTAAATTCGTATGAACTTTTTATGATTGATGGAGCTCTTTGATATACTGTCACTAGTAATTACTCAGTTTGACTTTCTCCTTTTGATGGATGAATCACTGGTACGAAACACAATCTTGAAATCTTCAGCGTCAAAATTGACTTTCAAAATAAAATATGAAAAAGTAAATGATACCTATTCTTTTAAAAATAAAATTGACCAGAGAAAAAAAGAAAAATCATAATTTACCAATAGTGCACTTGGCTCCAATTTTCTGAGTCAGTTACTTTAAAATCAAATTTGATGACTTTTGACAAGAGAAAATTGGAGAGTGAAAAATTTTTGGAGGGTCCAACCCTGTCAAACAGACGGAACTTATCCTCCAGTTAAAAAAACTTAAAGCCACTGATTAGAAAAACTGGAACGGAAATAATCTCAATCATTTGATAACACTTCAAAAATTTCTATTTCATGAATTATGTGCTCAGAAATGTTTTCCTCTTTCATAGAAGTGATGAATTACAAATTACTTTTGTAGTAAGAATCTTACACAGCCCTGCTCCGAGCAAAGTGTATTTAAATAAAAATGTAAAGATACATCCTAGCCCTTAATTATATTTGATTAGAAGCAAATCATTTTACATTCAATATACTAAAACACAAAACATCACACTCAAAACAGACGAAAGACAGAAACATCAACAAAATAAAAACTTCTCACTATCCTACGTACACAAAATATACATATATCGATATAGTTAGAAAATAAATCCATTTAAAATCGTTTCAACAAAGTCCATGAGAAAAAGAGGGTGGTCAGAATGACAAAACTTCAATTAAAACATGACCCGAGTTCTATTACTAAGTGGAATTTTAGAGAAAATAAGGAAATCGAAAGATCGAGCACGAAGGACATTTCTTCAAAAACTAAAAAGCACCAAAGAAGAGAGATGAAACAGGAGCGTAAATTTGCGATTTTCTGAAATTACAAGCAAACTATTCTTGTTGTCCAGGAGCTAGAGAGAATAATGTGCAACAGATTTTAAGATTGAAACATTGCAGCTCCTATGACACAAAGTTCTTTCTTAGACGAAACAAATAATTCCAGAAATCAGACAAGAGGGAGCATCAGGGTTCTTTTAGAATCAAAATTATTATCTTAGGAACAAACTCCTTGCCACGTCTGTTATGTCAGCTTGTTTGCAAAATTTACAGTTCAGTTTATTCATGTGTTATTGCAGACAGAAAAATATTTTTCAAAAAGAACGGATGAAAAACAATCTAGAGAAGGCAAGTAATATATATATATATATATATATATATATATATATATTAACTGATTCCAGACCAGAATAAACTTGCTTGTGATCGGGAAATTTAAGGACACGGCTAAAAAGGAAGAATAATGAAGCTCTCCGGAGGACCACTTTTCTGGAGCAAGAAAATATGAAATTCCTCCCAGCATATAAGTACTATTTAAAATCAAAATCACAAAACTGGTACCTGGCAGGGGCCAGTAAAAATGAAAAAATTTAAAAAGAAAAAAAAATGATATATGTATGTATATATAGAAATTTCAGTAAAAACAAGAATTGCATTGGGTCGGTTGTAACATTTTAGCTTGCCAATTTTTTTTCCTTCTTTTTTAAACTACTTGCAAGGTTTACAATTGCAGACATAGGTGGCTACAAAAAAAAAAAAAAAAAAGAAAGAACGAAAAAATACAGACGGACTTACAAAACAGAATTTTTGTCTGCCGATTCGTAACTAACATTGTTGCATCTCTTATCAGAATGAAAACATCTGATTTAAAAAAACGGGTTTGCATCTTGCTTAAGTTTTTGCTGCTCTTGGTCGCCAAAGAGACTGATGAACACTGCCAGTTACAAAGGACATAAATCATGATGCTCAGCAAACTATTCAGTTAGATTTCAAATCCCAATAAGATAATTACAGATTATAGATTTGACCGGGATCAAATCAATTATCAAGAAATGCACACGATATTCTGGAAACACTAATCCATTCCAGCTTTTAGAAAACTTATATTTGCCCTCTTTTCATAATTTTTCATTCATATTTTAATATGGACTGAGTTAAGCAGAAAGGAACCAACCCACATATTGGAAAAAATTGAGTTATGAGTGGTTTTGAACTCAACCACTGCTCTACTATCTATCGCCAAAAATTCAAAGTTTTTGTTGGAGCAAATTTTGCAGAAATTGAACTTGAAGTTTATCTTTTACATTGAGTCTTATGCAGGGGCCAAACTTTAAACCTCTTTTTCTCGGTTCGTTTCCGATGTGGCTTGGTTCCTTTCTGTTTAACTCCGTCCATATGTAGATCAACAAAGTAAAATAAATAAATCTTTGACAAAATATAGTCTGTAACAGAAGGAATTAAAAAAATAGACAACGCATCTTCATAATAGCTGACTTAGGGTGGTTTTGAATGAGATTAAGATTTAAAAAAAGGAAATATTGGATTGAAAAACTGACTTCTATGAGACATCATCCTCATCGATGATCTCAAAATCTTCATCAGACGATGACAAATGTCTTGATTTTTTTTCTGGTACTAACTGAGTGTAATTTGAACCTTTGGGACTGAATGTATTTGAAATAATACTGCTACTGAGAACACTTAGATTATGAGCTGCTGAGCCTATGACACTAGAGAACATGTTCTCTAATGGATTTGCGGAGGATTTTGAGCTGACAGGCTCAGAAAAAAATAGATCTCGACAGAATTGTTTTTCTTCCTCTGAATCAGAGGAAATGTCCCCAGAAAACTGAGAATTTTTGAGGAGAATACTTTCATCATCACTTGAGTCACCTGGATCTTTCAGTTGATTGATTAATCGAGCACGTTCTGCAGCGGAAAGTTCAAACTCAGAGCCGGTCAGTGAGTCCAGACAGTCCATGCTGGATTCGTCGTAGCTTGGCATCGAGCTGCTTTCAGGCAGAAACGCCTGCTCACTCAACCCTGTAATTTAAAATTGAAACAATTACTCCTACACATTATTGCCATTCTTATCAATTCCAAACAAGTTCCTAGTTTTGCTTGTAACCAGTCAAAAAAAAAATCACTCATTACTCAAGTTTTTTTAAAAGATGACCAAAATTCCTTTCTGCTAATTTCATTTAAGATTAGTGATTGTAGGCAATTCCTGAAAACTCATTGATGCCTATGGACAAAAAATTATGAGAATGGCTTTAAATGACTTCAACGAAAGAAAGACTAGAGTGTTTATTTACAGTATTATAGGAGAATATATTACGAAATCATACAATTTTGAGAGGATTATTCTACAAGTAGCCATGCAAAAATTGAAACACACTAGGGAATTTTACCTGAGCCCACTAATGAGGAGAGCAGGCTGCGGCTGCTCTTCTCTGCATTGATGGACGCTTTGTTGAGGACAGTTTGGTCTGCTTCAGAGATTTGAGGAATAAATTCATCGATATCGTTTTCTCCACCTGAGAAAAAGAAAATGTCAAATTCATGAAAGATTCAATTGTATATTAGAGCATGTTATCTCCCATGAAAACATTTCTGCCCAATTATTCATTTTTCATTTTCATTATGTAAACAAATTGTGCTCATGCATTAAAAAATTTCACAAGGAAAGTTTATCAGACTGCTGCTTTGTTTACATTGCTGCCTTGCAGAGGTGCAAAAAGTCCGAAGCATTGATTATTTTTTGTAATCCAGCATTTTTCTCTCACGGCAAAATATAAATTTCATTTTTTCATCTGAAAGCGCTCATTGAGCTGAGTATAGAATGTATTGTTTAATTTCTTTCTGATAGGGGACTGTAAACAAATAGATTTGAAGGAGGAGAAAATGTACCACTTTTGAACGTCATTGGGCAGCATTTCCAATTTGTTCACAGGTAAAAAAGCAGATGCAGTTATTTTATCATAACTCCGCCAATAATTTTTTAATTTAGGAACCAAGTATATTTTTGTGCCCAGTTAGTTTCCACTTAATAATGAAATTCATAAAATTTTCTTCAAGTTTGCTGTGATTCACAGAACTTAAGTTCTAGCATTTTTTGCGCGCCTACCCTCACGGTATCCGGAAACTAAATGGATTCAAAAACAGGTATTTTTGGGAACTATTTCATTCAAGAAATGTGTACAACTGTATTCCTGCATCTTATATACTAATATGATAAATACTAGACTACAAGAAATACTTTAAAAATGAGAGAAAAAATAAAGATTTGAGGGAATGAATTGAATGTAAGACTTACCGCTTCCTTTCAAAAATGATTTGACAAAACTGATAGCATTTGCTGTCATGTGAGGAGGAAGATACAGAAGACAAAAACCAGGAACGAACGCTAGCATGATGAGAAAATATAGCAAGGTCAAGCCAGCGATATTTTGACCAAGAAAAGATAATACCGCAAAGGATGAACACAATACCAAGCAGAACTGTAAAACAGAAAAGAAAGAATTAATTTCAGGTACAAAACGAAATAAAAAACAAGTCCTAACGACAAAATAACAAATAAAGAAAAGACTGAAAAAATGAGTGAGGGAACTTTGAAGGCCTGACACATTTAAAGGAATATTTATCAAAATGGAATTTTGAAAGGATGAAAGAGCACTACACGAATGTTTATGTCTCACTTCGGATACCTTCAACATATTCGGCATGAAATGTTGATAAAATAACATGTACTATGATAATTAATTTCATACCCTGTTCAGTGGTCAATTGTATGGATGGTGGACTCTTGGACAATGTTCGGACCTATAGATTTGATTTACTTTGATTTCCGTAAGTAATGTCAGGATCTGAATTATTGTTAAGTGTAGCTTGATTATTATTACAGAAAGAGGAAAAATTATATGGGTTTCCAAGCAATAGGATTCAGTATAAGTCTGTTGATATCAAACACTGTTACAAAGTATACAGCACTGTAATAACTACCTGGACTAGTGCCTCTAAAAGCAAGTTAAATCCACATATTTTCTTTTCTGTCCATTTATACATAAAAATTTACTAACAGGATCATTGACTTATTCATGGAAATTTTTATTGCTCCTTTTGAGTTTGAGACCCTGCGGCTTGACACAAAATGTGTATTGATCAAAATTATTTCTATGTATTTCAAAATAGATTTTCCTGCAACTTTATTTATTTAAAAGGAGAAGAGGAATGAACTATCACTGAGAATTAGCTGAAAATGGAAAAATCTGAGGTATTTTACTTGGTAAAAAAATTCATTACCAATCCAGGATGTGATCTGCGTAGATTCTTCAAACGAACACAGTAATCCTTCATGAGGGAAGGTGCCTCTTCCAAAATGTGCATGATTTCCTCAACATTTTCAGAGCTGAAAAGAACGAAAAAAATGAAATCAATAATCATTCAAAACAAATTCTGATGAGGAGAAACGTATTTAACTTTAAAATGAAATTATGAATTATAGAAAGAGAATGAGCAAAACTGGAAATGCAAGGAGAAGTCTGATAGAAAATGTGATCTTCAATTTACATAATTTCAATCGGTGAATTAGACATGAATTAGAATGGAATGAAGTGTGGGTGCGGAAGTGACAAATGACCACACAAACAATACAGCTGCAATTGACCTTAACTTCTACTTAAAATGCGTCACAGCTTCCACATTTTTCTAACACCTGCTTCCTGACTGGATTGCTTCCACATAAAAAAAACTCTAAAAACATGCGAGGCAAAAAAGCCACTCCTAATTTCTTTGTTCACACCTACACTCAGTGTTTCAAGAAAAAATATAGAGGAGGAAGGAATCCTTTACTACTTGCAGCTATGAGGAGCCCAATTTCAGGAATTTAGAGATAAAAGGAGAAGGGCCTATTCGCCAATTGAAGAGAGCCATCTGCAAATTGCAGAACTTTTTATTTAAAGCGTTAGCAAAATCTTTCTTTATGCACATGAATATTTAAATTAAACTTTTTTGATACATGTTACTTGTTCTCTGAAACATTAAGCATGATAACTCACAACTCTCTCTCACCCTTGAGGAGGTTTGCATAGGTACTTTAATGTGTGAAATAACACATTAAGACTTAAATGTGCTTTTTCTCAGCATTTTCTTCTCTCTTTGGTAGAAATCTCAAGCTTCCAGTGAGAATGTTTGATTTTATTACAACCATTATTTTCTTCAACCATGATGTATAGATGATCCCTCAAATTTTTCTCCCCTGAAAAATTATGAAATGATGTATGCTTTAAAGCCATTAAAAAGAACATCGTTAAAATTTAAATGAAATTTGCTTACTTGGAATCTAAGCGTGTCCAAGCCTCGGAATCTGGTGAGGAATCATTCGGATCAGGAACCTTGATTTCTGGCCATATTCTGTGCTTGCACACATGCCCTAAATACAGTCCCAGAATCACAGTGAAAACAAGGCCATAGAATCTCCATGTTGTGTGGATTAGGGTTAAATACCTGGAAAAAAATTGAGATAAAATTAAATTAAATAATGCGACCAATAAAAATATGAAATCTCCACATGGTGATGAAGATTGTCCGTCTATTTTCATTACTGACTAAGTATGTGCATTTTTTCTTTTCCACATGGATAGGGATCAAACCTGTGACTTCTTGATCATAGGATAAGTGCAGCAACGACTATACAACAAAGGGCCAATGACTTGCCTTGAGGAATTTCAAGACATGCGCTGAATTTTCTCCCTAGACTCCCTTGTTAGCATGACAGGATGATCAAACTGATAAAGAGGAATATGGTTAAGAATTGCTAGATTTACTGATGCAGTCTTTGTCTTTTAGCTACAGATAATGCTGACAACTCGATGTGTTGGAGGTGTTGACAAGCAAGCCAAGCTTATTTGCACCTTATCTTGCAGAGGATAGGTCCGTCCTTACTCAGAGTATTGATGAAGTACAATGTTAGGCCACAAATAGCTATGGACCGTAATTGAAAATAAAATATAAGATGGCTTAGACAGTGCCCAAATATTGATTGAATGGAGGTTTTCTCTGACTGTGGCTGCTTCCGACTAAAATTTTGAGAAAGGTTGTCAGTTTCTAAAACTAATGTGAGAAACAATGAATGAATTGCGGCCTGAAACCTAAAATGAGGTGTCTCCTGCCTCAGATGAAAGCCATTAAACACAATTTGACTAACTGACTCACTCCAGAGTTACTTTCTCTTCAGAGACACTAGACAAAACTCAAAAATTGATCAAGTTAGAGCTCACGCATCGTATACTGAGAAAAATGTCAATCTCTGCTTAGCTCTGAACTAGCACCACTCAACTAGTTAATACATACAGTCAGATGACACCTCTGATGCGTGGTGACAGGCCATATTTTAACATTTGTCTCAACATAGAATGCGCAAGCACTAATTCTCTAAGTACATATGTACTACCAGCTACAAGTTAGTCTGAATCATACAAAACTGCAGCCGGCACGCACTTGAATGAAACTGAAGGTGCTTTCCATTGTTAATAGTACTCAAGTGTTAAACCAATATTCCTTCGTGGATATATTGAGCAGAACCAATTCAAATGAGCACATCCAGTTCGATACCAGCACTAGCTGAGAACTTATACTCCATGTGCATGGGGCCATTAGAAAAAAGTCACCATCACACATGAGCCTTTGTCAGTGAAATTTGAGTGTCCCAAGGAATTGAATGAGACACAGAGTGTACGTCAAAATAGAGAAAGGTGAAATACCAAAGAGAAATGAAACGTGTAAGGGAAAGGGCGATCCCAACATCCTGAAAAGAAAACTATTTGTTTACTTTGTGACACAAGAAAATGATAAGACCTAAAAAGAAAACAATGAAAATGCTCTTATCACTCACCAGAAGCTGAGGTTAATGCCCAGCAGAACCAGTTTCGTCTCATAGGGATCTTGCCATAAAAGTAAATACTCGCAGGCGTACACGAGGGATTCAAATTTGTCATAGGTCTGGGCTTGTTTATGTTTAGAAGCACTGGCTTTCTTCAAAAATGGCACATACTTGACCAAGCTTTCAAACATTTTCCCGATCACTCAACGCACTAATTCTCGATGTGACTTTGCGAAAACTCAAACACGAAACCACTGTGTCACATCACATTAAACACAATCTCCAACATTTCACAAAAATAATAAAATGTGTGATAAATTGACAGCGATCACGACATAACCCTTTGTTCTTTGGTTTCAATCTGCGCACCACGAATGAAAGTAGGGAGAGATCCCCCAGTCAATAAACAGCTGACCGTGCACCTTCTCTGCGCCGTCAAAGAGAAAACAAGAGTCCGCATTGCATTACAAAAGTGCGTGGTCGCCCGACGCCCCGCCCACTTACTTTTCAGCCAATCAGACACCCGACGACCAAATTTTCATTTCTTATGGGAAATAACATGGGAAATCGAAACTATGAGTTTCATTCAAATTCAGTCAGTTTCATGGCAAAAATATGTTCACGACTGGATTCTCGGTATTCTGGCGTTTCTATTGATATGTAATATGTTCCACTTTCCTCCAAAAACACCGAAGATTTTGATTTTTGAAATTTCAATTTCCACTCGGGTTGCTCCAGTCAGTCCAGTCCAGTTTCCAGTCGAACGTCGAAGGCATGGGCATGCATCTCACGTTAACGATCAATTGAAGATCATTGTTATTGTTTATTTGTTTCGCACTTTTGATTAATATCGTTCNATGATCTTCAATTAATTGCCAAGAAGTGAGATGTTCGCGTACGACGGGAGCAACCCGAGTGGAAAATGGTTAGGAAATTGAAATTTCAAAAATCAAGATCTTCGGTGTTTTTGGAGGAAAGTGGAACATATTACATATCAATAGAAACGCCAGAATACCGAGAATCCAGTCGTGAACATATTTTTGCCATGAAACTGACTGAATTTGAATGAAACTCATAGTTTCGATTTCCCATGTTATTTCCCATAAGAAATGAAAATTTGGTCGTCGGGTGTCTGATTGGCTGAAAAGTAAGTGGGCGGGGCGTCGGGCGACCACGCACTTTTGTAATGCAATGCGGACTCTTGTTTTCTCTTTGTGCGCCGTAAACACCGCGCAGATACAAGCCGCGTGACCTTGAAATCGTGCGTCGCGACGCGCCAGCATTCGTATTCGTTTGAGCGTCGAACGACGACATCGCCGTGTTTTCTCGGTCACATGTTTACACGAAATGGCCAATATTATTTTGTTTACTTCCTTTAAAGAAAATAATCATTCTTTTTCGTTCCAACAACGGAAATAGATGCGGACGCTTAGCTCGCATCACGCGCGCATCAGAGGCGGTGGGGGCCGGCCCTCCACGCTGACGAAAGCTTTAGCTAGTAAAATGGGTCATGAGCGATGATTCGATTAGAGTCATACTTACAGCGTTTGCACGAAGAGAAGAACCGCTTGTAGAAGTTTCCCATTAGCTCATATATTCAGAAGCCAACTTAATTGCTTTCAACTCGTGGGTATGTACGATTTCGGTGTGAAGGTGCCCTCATTTGTCAAGGCACCTGATGAGGGGAGGTCTGGGGAGGGGGGGCATTAAACCCTCCAGTAAGAGAGGTGTGCGAGTCTCTTCAGGCTCCAAAGAAAAGTTCGGGGGATTTTCTTCGCCTAAATGGGGGGTCCAAGGGGGGGGGGAGTTGAGTCGTTCTCACCGAAAAATTGATCCAATCACAATCCCATATGGCAATGGGCGCGCGACGGGGGAGGGTCCAGGGGACCTGTCCCACCCTAAAGTTTAAATTAATATCNCCCCCCCCCCCCTGGAAGTTATCTCTTCATGAAATGTAGAGTCGTAAATGAATGTGTCCATTCAGTTAGTATCCTCTAAAATTTTCATCATGGAAGTCTCAAAATGCGTCAAACATAGGTAATAAAATTGTAAGAATTACATATCAATTATATTAAGGACACCCTTGTAAATTGTTTAACAATTTAAACATTCAGCTGCAATACAACAGTGTTGCCCATATCAAGGTATATGTATAAGAGCTTCGAGGGTAAATTGATCTCGGAAAAGAACGGAAAAAGAATACATAGGTACCTCGATTGCCAAGTTGACTGGTTCCGTAGGCGCCAAGATAGCATTTTCGGCCGTATCCTCCGTCATAGATTTTAGAATTTTGAAAATTTACTAAAGATTCGAGCTCTCCGTCGAAAAATACCCGTTGCTGTTGATTTTTCCCAAAATCGATCGAACAGAAGCCGAGACAGCATCTTGGGCCTCATCCGCTATCTTCGATTTTCAAATTTCAAAAATTTTATAAAAAAACACGGGATGTCTAAAATCTAAGCTCTGATTCGGATTCCTCGTGAAAAACCAATGTAAATTCTTGTATCATACACCAGCATAGTGTGAAGGAGAGAGGGCTATTGTAGGAATACTGATTCTAACATCAGTCCAACATGGCAACATGGGAAATTACTGAGTGAGTCAGCTGATGAGAAAGAAGAATTTCCTTTTCTCGGAAATCCCTCTGAACTTAGCCGAATGCTTGGCGCCGGCGCTTATGGCGGCATAATCAAAAGGAGTGAACTCATAGAATTTACGACAACGTTCATCCTCTTTCTTTCATACTAACATATGACACATGAAATTGCATCGATTTTTCACGAAGAATTCGAATCTGAGCTTAGATTTTGGGTAACGCTCGTTTTATGGTATTTAAAATTGTAAGAGAAATTACGAGGTGTGTTCTTAAAGATTTTTCACGCCTTTAACGTTTTTCTCTCTCTATCTCTCTCCCTCTTCCCCTCCCCCTTCTCTTTCCCAGAACGATCATTGATGAAAAAGCTCGTTCCCTGTTTCCGATAATTTAAAGATATTTTTCAAGAAATATATTGAACTTAATTGTTAAATCGAATAAAAACCACCGAAGTTCCTTTGAAATTGCGGACGAATCAATCTATTGGTCATCCTTAAATTAAAGTAATATCAAACTTACGGCTCCTCCCTCCCCCCTCCCTCATTTGCC